AACCAGCTTGAACATTTGGAATTTCACAGTTTATGTATTGCTGAAGCCTTGCTTGGAGAATTTTGAGCATTACTTTACTAGCATGTGAGATGAGGGCAATTGTGCAGTAGTTTGAGCATTCTTTGGCATTGCCATTCTTCGGGATTGGAATGAAAACTGACCTTTTCCAGTCCTGGGGCCACTGCTGAGTTGTCCAAATTTGCTGGCATATTGAGTGCAGCACTTTCACAGCATCATCTTTCAGGATTTGAAATAGCTCAACTGGAATTCAATCACCTCCACTAGCTTTGTGTGTAATGATTCTTTCTAAGGCCCACTTGACTTCACATTCCAGGATGTCTGGTTCTAGGTGAGTGATCACACCATTGTGATTATCTAGGTCATGAAGATCTTTTTTGTACAGTTCTTCTGTTTATTCTTGCCACCTCTTCTTAATGTCTTCTGCATCTGTTAGGTCCATACCATTTCTGTCCTTTATCGAGCCCATCTTTGCATGAAATATTCCCTTGGTATCTCCAGTTTTCTTGAAGAGATCTCTAGTCTTTCCCATTCTATCGTTTTCCTCTAGTTCTTTGCACTGATCTCTGAGGAAAGCTTTCTATGTCTCCTTACTATTCTTTGGAACTCTGCATTCAAATGGAGGTATCTTTCCTTTTCTCATTTATTTTTCCCGCTTCTCTTCTTTTCACGGCTATTTGTAAGGCCTCCTCACACAGCCGTTTTGCTTTTTCACATTTATTTTCCATGGAGATGGCCTTAACCCCTGTCTCCTGTACAATGTCACAAACCGCCATCCGTTGTTCATCAGGCACTCTTTCTATCAGCTCTAGTCCCTTAAATCTATTTCTCACTTCCACAATATAATCATAAGGGATTTGATTTAGGTCATACCTAATGGTTTAGTGGTTCTCTCTACTTTCTTCAATTTAAGTCTGAATTTAGCAATAAGGAGTTCATGATCTGAGCCACAGTCAGCTCCAGGTCTTGTTTTTGCTGACTGTATAGAGCTTCTCCATCTTTGGCTACAAAGAATATAATCAATCTGATTTTGGTGTTGACCATCTGCTGATTTCCATGTGTAGAGTCTTCTCTTGTGTTGTTGGAAGAGGGTGTTGGAAGAGGGTGTTTTCTTGGCAAAATTCTATTAGCCTTTGCCCTGCTTCATTCCCTCCTCCAAGGCCAAATTTGCCTGTTACTCCAGGTGTTTCTTGACTTCCTACTTTTGCATTCCAGTCCCCTATAATGAAAAGGACATCCTTTATGGGTGTTAGGTCTAAAAGGTATTGGAGGTCTTAAAAAAACTGTTCAATTTAAGATTCCTCAGCGTTACTGGTTGGGACATAGGCTTGGATTACTGTGATATTGAATGGTTTGCCTTGGAAACGAACAGAGATCATTCTGTCGTTTTTGAGATTGCATCCAAGTACTGCATTTCGGACTCTTTTGTTGACCGTGATGGCTACTCCATTTCTTCTAAGGGATCCCTGCCCACAGTAGTAGATATTATGGTCATCTGATTTAAATTCACCCATTCCTGCCCATTTTAATTTGCTGATTCCTAGAATGTCAATGTTTACTCTTACCATCTCCTGTTTGACCACTTCCAATTTGCCTTGATTCATGGACCTAACATTCCAGGTTCCTGTGCAATATTGCTCTGTACACCATCGGACCTTGCTTCTATCACCAGTTACATCTACAAATGGGTATTGTTTTTGCTTTGGATCCATCCCTTCATTCTTTCTGGAGTTATTTCTCCACTGGTCTCCAGTAGCATATTGGGCACCTACTGACCTGGGGAGTTCCTCTTTCAGTATCCTGTCATTTTGCCTTCTCATACTGTTCATGGGGTTCTCAAGGAAAGAATACTGAAGTGGTTTGCCATTCCCTTCTCCAGTGGACCACATTCTGTCAGACCTCTCCACCATGACCCATCCATCTTGGGTGGCCCCACGTGGCATGGCTTAGTTTCATTGAGTTAGACGAGGCCACGGTCCGTGCGATCAGATTGGCTAGTTTTATGTGATTATGGTTTCAGTGTCTGCTCTCTGATGTCCTCTTACTTGGGTTTCTCTTGCCTTGAACGTGGAGTGTTTCTTAACAGCTGTTCCAGAAAAGTGCAGCCGCTCTTCCTTGCCTTGGACGAGGGGTATCTCCTCACGGTCGCCCCTGCTGACCTTGAACATGAGGTAGCTCCTTTCGGCCCTCCTGCAACTGTGCAGCCACCACTCCTTGGACGGGGGTTGTTCTTCTCGCCTACCGCCCCAGACCTCAGGTTGTGGTAGCTCCTCTCGGCCACCGCCCTAGACCTCGGCCATGGGGTAGCTCCTCTCGGCCACCACCCCTGACCTCGGCCGTGAGGTAGCTCCTCTCGGCTGCTCCTGCGCCATCGCAACCTGACTCTCAGACGCTGCCCTTGACCTTGGGGGAGGGGCAGCTCCTCTCGGCCGCGCTTCTGCGCTGACCCTCACAGCCAGCGCGTCACTCAGTCATGTCTGACACTTTGTGACCCCATGGACTGTCCATGGAATTCTCCAGGTCAAAATACTGGAGAGGGTAGCCTTTCCCTTCTCCAGGGGATCTTCCCAACCCAGGGATTGAACCCAGGTCTCCCGTATTGCAGGCAGATTCTTTACCAGCTGAGCCACAAGAGAAGCCCGCACAGATATATAAACATATGTACAGTCAAGCTCAGACTTATTTATATACACCTATGTACACAATCACATTTGTGCTAATATACAGTTTTACACAAAAGGGGTATTATAGCATCTTGATTTTCTATCTAATATATCTTAGAAAGTTTTTGGTATCATGCCATGAAGAGTTATGCCATTTCTTAAGAAGAATGCATAGTAATATACTATAATCTAGGTAGCTAGTTCGCCATTGAAAAATATTTACCTTGTTTCTGGATGTTTTCTTTTTTTTTTTCACCACTACAAATGATGTTTTGGTAAATATCCTTGTGTACATGTCTTTGTGTACTTGTGTGAGTATATCTATATGGCAAATTTTAAAAAGTATATTGTTTAGTAGGTCTTTTCAAGTCCTCTGCGGTCTTTTTTCTGTTAAGAACAGGGCCAGGAGGTGGTAGAGGTATCTTCTGTGCCTCTATATTGGGCACCTATCGACCTGGGGAGTTCCTCTTTCAGTATCCTATCATTTTGCTTTTTCATACTGTTCATGGGGTTCTCAAGGTAAGAATACTGAAGTGGTTTGCCATTCCCTTCTCCAGTGGACCACATTCTGTCAGACCTCTCCACCATGACCTGTCCATCTTGGGTGGCCCCACATGGCATGGCTTAGTTTCATTGAGTTAGATGAGGCCACGGTCCGTGCGATCAGATTGGCTAGTTTTCTGTGATTATGGTTTCAGTGTGTCTGCTCTCTGATGCCCTCTTACTTGGGTTTCTCTTGCCTTGGACGTGGGGTATATCTTAACAGCTGTTCCAGAAAAATGCAGCCGCTCCTCTTTACCTTGGACGAGGGGTATCTCCTCACGGTCGCCCCTGCTGACCTTGAACATGAGGTAGCTCCTCTCGGCCCTCCTGCAACCGTGCAGCCACCGCTCCTTGGATGGGGATTGCACCTCTCGGCCGCCGCCCCAGGCCTCAGGTTGTGGTAGCTCCTCTCGGCCACCTCCCCAGACCTCGGACGTGGGGTAGCTCCTCTCGGCCACTCCTGCGCCACTGCAGCCTGGCTCTCACACGCTGCCCTTGATTTGGGGGAGGGCCAGCTCCTCTCAGCCGCGCTTCTGCGCGGTCCCTCACAGCCGGCGCGTCGCTCAGTCATGTCTGACTCTTTGTGACCCCATGGACTGTCCATGGAATTCTCCAGGACAGAATACTGGAGTGGGTAGCCTTTCCCTTCTCCAGGGGATCTTCCCAACCCAGGGATTGAACTCAGGTCTCCCGTATTGCAGGCAGATTCTTTACCAGCTGAGCCACAAGGGAAGCCCCAAATGTCTTCATAGCTAGCTGCTATTCTTCTTTCTGGACCCCCAATGGACTCAGAAGAGTGTCACACTGCAATCACATAACCATCACCACTACCTCTAGTATCTGATCTTTAAAAAAAGTCACCATGTCAATCTGACCTCACCTTCTAGTCAGTCCAGTTCAGTTCAGTCACTCAGTCATGTCTGACTCTTTACGACTCCATGGACTGCAGCACGCCAGGCCTCCCTGCCCATCACCAACTCCTGGAGTTTACTCAAACTCAGGCCCACTGAGTCGGTGATGCCATCCAACCATCTCATCCTCTGTCATCCCCTTCTCCTCCTGCCTGCAATCTTTCCCAGCATCAGGGTCTTTTCAAATATGGAGTTTACTCAAACTCATGCCCACTGAGTCGGTGATGCCATCCAACCATCTCATCCTCTGTCATCCCCTTCTCCTCCTGCCTGCAATCTTTCCCAGCATCAGGGTTTTTTCAAATGAGTCAGTCCTTCGCATCAGGTGGCCAAAGTATTGGAGTTTCAGCTTCAGCATCAGTCCTTCCAATGAACACTCAGAACTGACTTCCTCTAGGATGGACTGGTTTGATCTCCTTGCAGTCCAAGGGACTTTCAAAAGTCTTCTCCAACACCACATTAAAAAGTTCTCTATTCCTTAGGTTCTGCTTGAAACACTTTTCTACATCTATCTAGTTGAACCAGGGCCCAAGTCTGGCTTAATGAGTTTAAATTAGGCCAAAAACGGACAAGTGGGAAGTATAGAACATCCCTCTATGTGCTGAGACTCACCTACTGCTTCCTATGGGATTCTTTTCCCCAAATATATCTACATTGCTAAAGCTAGAAAATCTGGTTTGTGGCCCCCAAATCCGAAACTTAGATAGGTCTCATTCCATTGTATCAGACATGCTAGTTTCTCTTGCCTGCTAGAGAAAAAGTCCTGGACCAATGTAATTAAGTCCATGGATGGAAAACATAGCCCCTTTAAGAAATGATGCACAGAATAGTCAGGAGCCTGTCATTCTGTCTACTATGACATCAGGCAGCAAAGACAAGAAGGACTGGCTATAGACAAAAGAGAAACTTTCTTGCCAAGCTTCACTGAAATCACAGTTTCAAGAGTTATGATTTTCATTTTGTGTTTTGTGGTGGCCTTTTATTTCATTTTAAAGAAGATTGGGGAAAAAAGGCAGAAGAGGAAAGCCCAAAAACAGAAGAAAAACATTTAAACAACGGAGGGAAAATACTGGGTCTGTTTCATTCTTCCTGTTTATATCAGTTTCTCTTTCCAGATGATGCCTTACCTTTATCTCATGTCTAATATTGTTATCAAACCAAGGTTCCCTTCTCCAGGGTGGTTGTGGATGGACATGAACTGAAACTTAGGGATGAGTTTTGGTATATATTTGACATCCAACTTCATCTTTTGTTAATCAGAAAGTACAGTGAATTATTTTACAGTCTGTATCAAAATTCCCCATGTCAGAATATCTCTGTCAAAGTAGCTATGTTAAAATATTCTTGATTTTAGTATGGCTCATCAGAATGCCTATGCCACAATGTTATGAACCCACTCACAACTACCGTGACTAATAGGTTGTGTGTAGGTCCGGTCTGGACCCACTTATATGCCTCATGTCTATGCTATAAGGCCAATTTCAAAGTCTGTTATTACTAGAATTTACTCTTTGCTTATACACTTACTGAAAGTATGGGCTTTAAGGACAAAGTTTTTATCAGTTAAGGTTTATATGTATTAGCCTCCCTCCAAAACTCTGTTCTATAGTGTATCTGTTTAATGCTGCAACTCTCTATATTCAGCCTCAGTGTTCTCTAAGTTACTTTTTGTCAACTTTGTTTTCTCTGGGGATGGATAAACATTTTTCATACTATAACAATGGGAAGGGGGGGTTATATTTAATTCTTTTGGCTGGAAGGTTCACTCACTTCTTACAGTAACAGCCAAAATGAAACTTCCATTTGCATTTCCCCTTCTATAAGCCATTCTATATCATAGAAAGATAGACAAATATAAATAGATGACAGATAGATACAAAGACCTGCTAAGTTACTACCATAATACCCAAACATTTGCCTTTTAATAATATATGTTTATTTGTCATCTTCTAGGGGCAGGCCTAGAGATGTCTTGATATTTACATATTTAGCATGTGGTATCAATATGAGCCACCTTCCCTGGTGGCTCATTGGTAAAGAATCTGCCTGCCAAGCAGGAGACGCAGATTCGATCCCTGGGTAGGGAAGATCTCCTGGAGAAGGAAATGGCAACCCACTCCAGTATTCTTGCCTGGAGAATCCCATGGACAGAGGAGCCTGCCAGGCTACAGTCCACGGGGGTCAAAAAAGTGTCAGACACAACTTAGCGACTAAGCAACAACAATCAATATGGGTCATTGTATTTCCAATCTCCTTAAAATCATGACTAAACCTTTCCTCTTGTCCTTAAAAAAAATCTATGTGCAGCATCCCTGGAGCTCATCCCTTCAAAGTGTCTTTCCTAGAAGTCCTGTATTTCTACCACAACAGATCTCTGGAAGAAATTACAAGTAAGCAATCCCTAGAAAGGATAATTAAAGTTTGTAAATTCTGGGGCAGGGGGGTGCGGGGGACTGGGGAGAAAGCAGAATCTTACTTGGAAATAATTTTAATGGAAAGTTTTTTGTATTTATTTCTCAGTAGGAGATGGGGTTGCAGAGAGGGAGGGGCATTGTCAGAGACAACAATGTTTCTAACTATGAATATATACATAAATTTGTTTATGCCAGAAGATAACTCTACTATATTTCCGGAGGAAAAAATCATTGACCGTAATTAATCTGTAAGATTTTTAAAATTGTGTTTCCTTCATTTATCTAAGTATCCTATTGATTTCTTAGATACTGTTAGACACAGTAAATAGTTCCTAACTAAACTTTAGTTTTAGTAATGAATAGAATTAAAGAAGTATGATTTCTCTTTTTTCTGAAAGATACCATTATATTAGTATATCTGTTATCTAATGTGCTTTCTGGATGGTTCCACTTATTTGCTTCCTAGAGAATATATGATAACAATCTAGGTGTGTTTGATTTTTTTAAATATACTAAAATATTCCATGTTTATCTTTTCATTTAAAATAGCATTATGACTCATGAACCCAAAGAGGACGATCCTTCTATCTGCCCGTCTTTTAACTGGGATGGCTTCCTGCGAACAGCTAAACCTGAAGCAAACTATGGGGACAAGTACTCTTTGGCAATGCACATGAAGCCACTTTTTGTGTGTATCATGCATTTCAATTTCTGTATATAATTATTATCACAATTCATATAAAAGTATTATAATGAATACTAAGGCTTTGCTATAGCAAAATTATATGACAGAACCACTTAAGATATTCACAGAAGGTTTAGCTTATAAGACTATCACCACTATTTCATTTTGTAAAACGGGATTAGGAAATATGAGTCCAAGGTATAGTATATGTAAGACTTCATATGAATTAATATGCTATATATATATATATATATATACAACTTAAATTTGCATTATTTAGAAAGGAGATTTGAGATCCAAAGAAGAATGGTTAAATTTCATAAGACTAACTCAGAGGTCAGACTGATATTATGATCATTATTAAATTATCATATTTTAACAAGACAACTACTACTTGTGTTTTAGTGTATATAATACATTAAATAGCACATTGCTTCAGCTAATGCTGAATACTGGCTGACTGCTGATCTCTGGTTGCATGTTAACAGAAACAGATCACCAGCCCAGGTTGGATGCATGAGACAAGTGCTCGGACCTGGTGCACTGGGAAGACCCAGAGGGATCGGGTGAAGAGGGAGGTGGGAGGGGGACCGGGATGGGGAATACATGTAAATCCATGGCTAATTCTTTTCAATGTATGACAAAAACAAACAAAAACAAAAGATAAAGATACAGAAGGTTTAGCTTATAAGACTATCACCACTATTTCATTTTGTAAAATGGGATTAGGAAATATGAGTCCAATGTATAGTATTGTAAGACTTCATATGAATTAATATGCTATATATATATGTAACTTAAATTTGCAATATTTAGAAAGGAGATTTGAGATCAAAATAAGACTGGTTAAATTTCATAATACTAACTCAGAGGTCAGACTGATATTATGATCATTATTAAATTATCATATTTTAAGAAGACAACTACTATTTGTGTTTTAGTGTATATAATACATTAAATAGCACATTGCTCAAGCTAATGCTGAATACTGGCTGACTGCTGATCTCTGGTTACATGTTAGCAACTCATATGAGGTGTAAACTGTTTATTTGTATGTGTTTAAAACCAGAAATCAAAAAGGATGAAACACCTGAAAGTTATCTTTATGAATGTTCTTGACAAATGTAATGAATCATATAAAACTGAAACTAATCCACCAGAAATGAATATCTGATGTTTGTTGACATATTGACGTGTTGCATTTTGTGGGGGGAGGGTCATTTTTAGTTGAGTGGCCATGACAAAATGACCTCCCCCAAAAAACCCACAGTGGGGAGAGTGATATCACCAAGATGGCAATGTATGTCATTCTTGACTTCACTCCTCCTCAGAAGAAGAGCTAACATCTATTCAAGAGTATGGCACAACTGAGAGAATTCGAGAAATAGTGGTGAGATTAAAGCATCCCCTGCACCACAGAGACCAAGAGATACTGCATTAGAAGGATAAGAGGAGCCGCTCCACACTGACTGCATTGTCCCTCCTATTGCGAGTATAGCACCACTCAGAGAGGTCTCTGTTTCCTCCGGTGGGAAAGGAGAGCCCAGTGGGTCAACCAACCTCCTAAGCTTCATGGGTTGCTTTGTGAGAGCCCCTACTCTGGTCTCACCACATGGGGATTTCAGGTGAACTTGCAGGGTTCAACCACCGGGAATCTAACTGTTATGGAGCAGAGGGAAGGGGCTTTCAACAAGGATCGTGGCAGACCAAATTCATAGCTGTAGTGACCAAGTAGTAATCCTAATTAAATGGCTTTGTTTATTTCCAGAACCGAGTCAGTGGTGCATTTTGACCAGGCTTATTTAAGTGAACTGCTCAGTAGTTCTCATCAGGATGTGGATATGCATTATTTGGGTTCTCAGATGAGGAGTTTTTCTGGTCATAGAGCCTGGGCCAAGGAGTCTGAGGCAAGGAACTGAGCCCACTGGGATCCATCCACTGGGGAGAGTGTCTCCCAACCCCATATGATCAGAGAGGCTGGTGCGAGCACCTGGAAGCTGTGTAGCCTAGCAACACTCCAGCTGAGAGACTTCTAGAGCTGGTTGCTCCCAGAGTAAAGCCAGTGGGATTGGAGGGTTCCCTTATTAAGCCCAGGCTGGGAGATTAACTCATAGCCAGGGCTGAGGGTAACTCCCAGCCCCTCCAGACCAGAAAGCCTGCTTGGAAAAAATGGGCATGGCCTACAGTGACCCTTCACTGTCCCACTCGGCCAAGTGACCTGAAACATAGCCCCACCTACTATGGATCCAGAGCTCCATCTGACCAGAAAAGCTGGCAACACCTAGAAACTGTGTAATCAGCAATGCTTGGACCAAGAGGTGGGCTTGCCCAGTCAAGGAAACTGAGACATATCCCCACCCACTGTGAAGAGTATTTCCCACTTCATCTGATCAGAAAGGCTAGCAAGAATATCTGGAAGTTGTGCAGCCCAGCAACACTCAAGGCAAGAAGCAGGCAGGCAGAGCTGATACTTTGCACAACAAAGTCAATGAACACGCTTGGCCAGAGAACCTCGAGTACAGGTTGGCTTAAGACAACAAACAAAGAGCTTTACTAGCTTTAGGGCTGCATCTGTCACTGCACCCAAGCAGGGAAACTAATTCATGGCCCTGCTCATTGCTGAATACAGCCTCTATCTTGCCTGACCAGGGAACCTAACCAGAGCACACAGGAAGCTGCATAGGCCATCCAACACCCCTGATTAGAGTGGCACTTGAACAGGGAGCACAACCCGTATCTTTTCCTATATTCAGGGAAAAAAGAAAAACTGGTGTTCTCACCTGACCAAGGAATTCAGTGCACACTATTGCCTGGTTTGGGGTCCCAAACAATAAAGCCATACAGGAGCTTGATACCCTACCAGGGAGGGAAATTAATTCATAGGTCCATCTACTACAGAACATAGTACCCAGTCTCAATCATCTAGGAAGCCTGACCAGAGAATCCAGGAAAGTACAGCACCATCTAACAGGCTTACCTGTGTAGAGAACCAAGCTAGCAGTGCTATCCGCATGTTCTCAGTCAGTGGCACACCTCCCCATCCCCAAACTCAGAGCTTTAATAGTTGCCTCCCTTCACCCTCAACATAATAGCAGACCCCACTTGCCTAAGGACATTACCAACAGATATGCCTAGAAACACAAACTGAGTTGATTGGTGAAGATCCGCCTCTGCCTAAATGTGCACACTAAAATGTGCAGATACCAATGTAAGAAATCAAGGATAACAAAAACCAAGTAAATACAACATCAACAAAGGAAACTAATAAAAGCTCTAAGAACTGACCCTAACAAAATGGAAATCTGCAAATTGTCACACAAAGAATGGAGAACAATCCTCTTAAGGAAATCTAGCAAAATAAAAGAACACAATATAGACAACTAAATGGAATTAGGAAAACTGCTTGTGTGGATGGATGGATGGATGGATGGAGGTCAGGCCTGCAGCCAGAGGGAGATGTTGTTCTGTGGAAAGGCTGCTCCACAGGAGGACACCTAGATATCAGAGAAAGCTAGAGCTGAAAAGTACCCTGCAGGTCATCTAGTCTAACTCTCTCATTTTATAGTGAGAAGCCTAAAGTTCTAGGAGGAATAGGGCTCTCCAGTATTTAATTATTGGCAGAGCAGGAGAATTCCAGGTTTCTTAAGTCTTGCTTGACTTTTTTCTACCATTAACTTTGGTGAGCGCAAGACTATCTTGGGGAAGACAAGTAGCTTTGCCCATGTCATATAGCATATATCCAAAGCATATCTATAGACATGTTCAAGTGTTGTAATTGCTATAAGACCTTAATACTTTGGCCACCTGATGCAAAGAGCTGACTCATTGGAAAAGATCCTGATGATGTGAAAGATTGAGGGAAAGAGAAGAACAGGGCAGCAAAAGATGAGATGGTTGGATGGCATCACTGACTCAATGGATATGAGTCGAGCAAACTCCAAGAACTTCCAACTGTCTACAGCTTAAATAGTTCTGTTTTCAAGGTTCTGTCTTGCTGGTAAATTTCAAATCTAATTTCAACTCATAAAAGTCTCTCTAGATCTAGACCAGTGATTCTAATACTCTATAGGAGATTTGTACACTTATATTTCTAGCATACTCCTTAATGACCTATGATATTATCTCCATTCCGCCCTACTCTCCTATATTTTGTATTATAGTGAATGGTGCCACTGACCCAATTGTCTAAGACTGGAGTCTGTGAGCATAAAGAAGTTCTTTACTCTCCTTTACTGCTCCCTTTAAGTCTAATCATGCATGAAGTCGTGTGTTGTTCTTTTTTCCCATAAATCTAGGGTGACCAGCTCACTACAATTTGCTTGGGACAGTCTTGGTTTTAAAAGTGAAAGGCCCACATTTCCAGGAACCCCTTCAGTTCTGGGACAACTCATTCCCTCTGTCACTGACTTACTTCAGGTCTTCAGCATGTCTCTTCTAAATTGGTGGTGGTGGTTTAGTTACTATGTCCAGCTCTTGTGACCCCATGGACTGTAGCCCACCAGGCTCCTCTCTCCATGGGGCTTCCCAAGCAAGCATACTCCAGGGGATCTTCCTGACTCAGGGATCAAACCTACATCTCCTGCTTGGCAGGCAGATTCTTTACCACTGAGCCACCTCTTCTAAATTATGGCCAAATAATTCCTTTGCCACCTCTGTCTCTATTTCAGGTTTACCTGTCACACTGCTGCCTAAGTTATCATCTCAAAACCAAATATGATCTGATTGTAATCTAGCTTAAAAAACCATGCTTGATTCTCATACAAATACGTCAATGTTCCTCAAGAAAGCATAATATGAAGGATTTTAGCCCCCCTCATCTCTCCAACTCTCTACCTCCATCTCTTGCTGATCTCAGGCTTCCACTCTATGTTCCAGCCATACCAAATATATGGCTTCCCAAGTACATGGTTCCCAAGCAATTATGGTTCTATGTCTGCAAAACTCCTACTCATCCTAGTACTATATTTTAGGGATCACATTCATGAAGCCTTTCCCAAATCTTTAAGCAGAGGTAGTGCTCTATTCTCTGCCCTCCCAACAGTATTATTACTGCCTTCATTCTTATACTAAGGTATCATGTTATAAATATTTGTCTGCCTGTCTACAGCATATGTGTCTTCCACTTCATTTTTAATTCATCCAGATCAACAACCACCACTTATTCATTATTGTATTCTGAGTGCCAAGCAGAATGCCTGATACAGAGTGATAGTCAACATGTGTGCATGTGTGTGTGTTTATCTTTGAACCATTCTCTTACAAATGGGGAAGGTGATTAGTATAATATTTTCCAATAAAAATAGAGAACTATCATTTGGAAACACTAGTGATGTAGCTTAATATTTGTCAATATGATTATACAACAAAAGAAAGGTAAGATACTTCATAAAAGTGACAAATTTAATTTACAGTTATATAGTACTAACATTCATCCCTGCAAGATTAGAGTGTGGATGTTGATACTGTAATTTCAGGAAAAAAAAGTGTCTGTTTTTTTATGTAAATTTGCTCCTGTAATATTAGATTCTTACTTTACTGTGGAGATTCTGGATTGCACTGTGTCTAAACTTGTCTAGGGAAACTATTACAAGTACAGTATTTAATCATTATATAAAGTCAGCCAACAATTCATTTGCTAAAAATTTTGTGTGTATTGTTTTAAATAACTAACATTTATAATGGCGATTCAACAAATTCTTAAAATGATTCAGATATTGTATGTCCAATTTTCTAATACATGAGGATATCTAAACAAGAATAGAGATTTTATTAAGTATCATTTAATTATGTTTGATATTTTTAACTTTCTTGCAGAGTTTGTCCACCCCAGGAGGTCCAAAATCAAGCTATATTCAAAGGGAGAGACAACAAATTGGAGATTCAAGTTCTGAGGAGCCAGAAGTCCCTTATAGGATAGGACGCATGTAGATGAAACCCAACTATTGTTTCCTGCAGAAAAAAATAAAATATAAAATCTCTTGATCAACTTCAAAGCATACTTGGAATATTTTTATAAAGCTATGGGTATGAGTTTCCTATGCTGTAAATTATCCTTTACCTTTCTTTCTCTTTTAATGCTATCAATTCTTATCTCTAACATTTTTAACTTTTCCTTCCCCCCGTCCCTCTATATGACCACAGAGCAAAGCTTTCATTTTCAATTACCAACTTCATTAATTCACCAGGGATGGCACATACTTGTTGTCTCCAAAATTTATCATTAACATTTGCTTATTGATTTATGGCATGTATCTTTATAACATGCTCAGTGAAATGCACAGAAGGTTGGTTGCAAACTGCTTAAAGAGAACATTGAATACATCTTAGTTACTAGATAAACATATAGGATTTCATCAAAGCATCAACACATAAAAATGAATTTTATTTGAAATATGTGGCTTGATTATAAAGTAATCTCTTAAAGTAAACTAAGAATTACTAAATAATTTCTGTAACTGAGTGGCGTTGTGGAATGATTCCAAGATCTGGGTTCTTTCTTATCCTTTTCCTTTCTTCCATTATTCCTACTTCTCTTCCTTTATCCCTCCTTTATTTNTTGTTGTTTAGTCGCTAAGTATTGCCAGACACTTTTGCGACCCCGTGGACTGTAGCCCGCCCAACTCCTCTGTCCATGGAGTTTTTCAGGCAAGAACACTGGAGTGGGTTGCCATTTCCTTCTCCAGGCGATCTTCCTGACCTAGGGATCAGACCTGCATCCCCTGCATTTGCAGGCAGATTCTTTACCACTGAGCCACCTGGGAAGTCTATACCCTATAAATTACTTATTGAATAAATGAATACGTATAGAATAAATGATGCCCTTCCCACTTCTGATTACTTTTCTCTCTTCCAGAGTCTCACAGCCACCGTTTTCTGTAACTGGACAAATGAATCTACTATCTTAGATGTAGCATCCTAAACCACATACTGAACTGAAACTTAGAAAGTGAACCTGAAGCATAAGTATCCTTTAACTCTTTTAAGTGATCATGACAGCCTTGTTTCTGTCTGTCAGAAACGTCCACAGATCCTTCATTTTCTCTTTTTAGGTCCAAAAAGGAATTGCTAAAGGACAAGAGACATTTTCAGTTTAGACTTAATAGCCTTCTTGATTTGTGTGCAACCCAGTCTAATACAGGTCTCCTTTAAATTATAGATGGGAATGAGGAATGAGAATCTCAGAATAAATGCACATTAGTATGAGAAAATGTATTGTAATCCTCTTTGTTTGAGTCCAGTTGGGCTGCTACAATGTAATACCATTGATTTTGTGGCTTTTAAACAGCAGAAATTTGTTTCTCACTGTTCTGGAGGCAAGAAGTCCAAGATCAAGGCTCCAGTAGACTTGGTGAGAATGAGCTTCCTGGATTATAGGTGGCCATCCCCACACTGCAGCTCACCCGGAGGGAGGGGGAGGGAGCTCGCTAGTGCAACTCTTTTATAAGAGCACTAATCTCACTGCAGATGGTGACTGCAGCCATGAAATTAAAAGACACTCACTCCTTGGAAGGAAAGTTATGGTCAACCTAGACGGCATAGTAAAAAGCAGAGACATTACTTTGCCAACAAAGGTCTGTCTAGTCAAGGCTATGGTTTTACCAGCAGTCATGTGTGGATGTGAGAGTTGGACTATAGAGAAAGCTGAGTGCCAAAGAATTGATGCTTTTGAACTGTGGTATTGGAGAAGACTCTTAAGAGTCCCTTGGGCTGCAAGGAGATCTAACCAGTCCATCCTAAAAGAGATGAGTCCTGGGTGTTCATTGGAAGGATTGATGTTGAAGCTGAAACTCTAATACTTTGGTCACCTGATGTGAGGAACCAACTCATTTGAAAAGCCCCTGATGCTGGGAAAGATTGAGGGCAGGAGGAGAAGGGGACAACAGAGGGTGAGATGGTTGAATGGCATCATCGACTCAATGGACATGGGTTTGGGTGGATTCTGGGTGTTGGTGATGGACAGGGAGGCCTGGCCTGCTGCAGTTCATAGGGTCGCAAAGAGTCAGACACGACCGAGCGTGTCTGACTAAACTGAAATCTCATTCTGGGGGGCTCTGCTCTCAAGACTGAGTTATTTACTTAAGGCCTCCCTCTGAACACCATCACATTTGGGATTAGGATTAAAACATGAATTTTCAGGGAGATACATATTTTCTGTCTATAGTACCTTTCTATTTCATAGATTTGAAAATAAGATAGCAGGATTAAAGGATAAAGTTTTTAGGAAAGAGTTTGACATTAAGTAATGACCTGACCACGAAAATACAGAAAACTGGCCATTATGGCAATATCTTTAAGAAAGCAGCAGTTCTATATATCATGACATAGTTGAGAAGTGTTATTATTTGGGTCAATATACTAGAAGATTTTAAGTGAATTTTCATGATAACATTTGAAGACTGTAAGGATTCTAAATGAAAGAGTAAAGATCTCATAAATTAGTGAAAAAATATAGATCAACAAAAAATATAGTGGATGTATATGTTAGTATCCATGGGGTTCCTAAACCAATCCCCCATGGATTCTGAGGGACGACTGGGTATTCTTTGTGTTCAGAAGTGTTGCTATTGATGGATAAAGCAAAGTCTAGAGAAAATCAATATTTTGTTGGAAATTTTAGACATAAAATGTATTGATTTGAACATAGTGAATTTTTAAAACTGACAATTGAAGAAGAATTTTCTGTACAAAGTAGTTTAATACATGAGGTCTTTGATCTTACTGGGCAGCGGTAGTGCTGTGTAGTTTGGGATTGGGTTCAGCTGTATGTAACAAAACATATGAACTGTCTTGAATAAGGTAGAACTTAATTGTTATCACAAATGAAAGAATTTTGGGGATAGAGTGGTATGGCTTTTCCTTTATCAAGACCCCAGACTCCTTCTGGCTTAGCATTCTTTAATCTTTAGATTATAAACCCTGCCATTTTGGTCCGGAACAACTGTTAAGCCTCCAGTCAGCATATGCTGCTTTTAACCAGCAAGAGTGGAGAAGGGGCAAGAAAGGGCAGACAAGCAGCAATCTGCCACATGGCTTTACCCATCTGCAGTTGAGGCTGGGGCATGCTGTCCTTTAACTGAGCATCAATACAGCAACTAAAAATTAGATTCTTGTGATGAAGGTGGCAGGGAGAAATGGATCTCGTAAGGTTAATGGTCTTAGCTACAGGAGGACATTTTCACTTAGTAATTAAACTGGTTTAATTGTTGAAAAGTTAACAATTTTTTTTTTTGCTTGATTTTTACCTTGTCCCTTTCAGTATAGGAATAGTGTGTCATTGAGCTGTTTCTTTTTAATTTATGTTTTAATTGAAGGATAATTGCTTTACAGAATTTTGCTATTTTCTGCCAAATATCAACATGAATCAGTCTTGGGTATACATATGCCCCCTCCCTCTTAAACCTCCTTCTCACCTCCCTCCCCACCCCACCCCCCTGGGTTGCTTCAGAGCCCTTGTTTGAGACAATTTTGTCATTGTGAATAGTAAACAAACTAGGATAGAAATAAGAAATAACACACATAATAAGCTTCATTAAAATTCAGTTATTTAGAGTGAAATTACCTAATTCTTTCAGGCAACTCATGCTAGCAAATTGTACTTAGCGTAATTGCAAGGTTAATACTATCTCTTTTTTCCGGATTAAATGGCTTCGATTTGCATTTATTATGGCAGTTGTTCTCTGCACTTGAGGTAATAGCACACTATTTATTTATATATTCTGTGGCCCAGAATCGAGTCTTCTTTTTTCACTCTCTACTTGTTCACCGTCAACTCTTGCGCACACGTGCGCGCGCACACACACACACACACACACGTTTCTCCACTTTGTAGCTAAGGATCATTATTTCCTTTTTTTTTTTTTTTTTTTAATCAGAGCTCAATACTTATCAGAACATCCACAGTCTGTGGTTCTTCTGTACTTTGAAGGTTGTATCAACTTTGTTTTGTGTCCATAAAGACTTAAAAGAGCTTTGAAGGTTAAGAGAGAGAGTTTTAATGCTTAACGTATGTTTAGAGAGTGTTCTCAACCATTTCTCTCAATCTTCATTTCATAACTTTACCAAGGAGTGTAAATGAACAGTTGAAAAAATATAGATCATGTCCTACATGTCCTATTTATAAGTTTGTTTATAATCAGAAACTCACTGGGATTGTGTTTTTGAACCTGAAAATATAGACTTATTAATTTGTTTTGAAAAATAAACAGAAATAATAGTATCCAACAAAATATTAACAAATAAGACAAGGAGAACTTGAACTGTCAGATGTCTAAAGTTAAAATCTGACATTAGAAAGGAGAGTTAAGTCAATGAAAAAGAATAAACATCTGGAAAATATGTTTAAATCTATATAGGTACATAGCATGTGTTAAAACTGCCTAGAAAGGATTTCATTCAGTTATAATTGAGTAATTATTTGTGACAAATAAAACTTGCCTCCTATTGCACGCAATACAGAGAAGTATATTTCTGATGGATTCAAAAGTTATTGACAAAAATTAAATCATGATTCAACTAACCTCAGGATGGGGGAAGGACTTAAACATGAGAGGAAAAACATGAAGGCTAAAATACTGATAATTTGATTTTACAAAATACAACCGAAATTTTTCTGTATGTATATATACATGTATGTAAATGCATAGAAAGGAGACTGATGCAGATTTGTTAATAGAAGTTACTTTATTTAAGTAAATGGGATTGATGTGGAATGTTGGGTCATGTGGTCTTTCACAATTCACTCCAAGTATTGCTATGTTAAGTCAACAACAATGTAATGAATTAATGCATTATGTATTAAATCAAAACAATTACAAATGTGAGAAAAAGCAAGCAATTAATGCACAGGCTTGTTGAATGACTTTTATGAGTCAGACTCTGAGCCAGACATAATTTCTGCATCGGATCTGCACAACGTTACTAGGTTTTTAAGTAG